AAAGCTTTCTCAGTTCTGACAGCTTACCAATAGCATTTCTTCTTACCCTAGATCTTAGTCAATGAAAGAAATAAAGTAGTTGCTAATTTTATTTATTTATATATTTAGTTAGCTAGTTAGTTAGCTACTTAGGTGATTAACAGTGCTGGGAGTCAAACCCAAGGCCTCATGCATGCTAGGCAAGTACTCTACCACTGAGCTACATACCCCAATCCCTGATTTTCTTTTTTAATTCAGGTATATAAATTCTCCCACAAGAAATCATTGGCTTCCATGCTGTGTATATCCTGAGGTCTTTAAACTCTCTGCCAATCTTCCTCTTGTCATAGTTTTTGAAACAACGTCATTTCCCTGTAGAGGGAAGTAGAGGTATCGTGCCAGTTTTCTGATCATGTGATCATGGGTGGCAGAGTTCTCACTGTGGCTGATAGCAGAAACAGCCAAGGCTAAAGTAAGAAGGTAAAGAGACAGACATTGTGGCTTATCCAAGCTGTAGTCAGTCTCTACAGTTGTAAATGGAAACTCAGATTTTTGCAGGGAGAAAGTCAGATCTACATGCTTGTGTTACTGTTTGCTAATTATTTGATGCCCTATCATACATATCTGATAAAATAGAAAGGTGACAACTCTCAAAATTTCAATATGCCAGGTCCATCATGTTTTTCTCTGTGATTTTTAGCTGTGTAGATATGGTACATACACTTTATATCTGGTCTCTAAATACCATAAGAACATCAAAACTCATTTTATAATAGAATCTCTGCATTTAATTTTTTATATCCAGGAGAAGAATCTAATTTTTAAAATTCTACATGGTTTAAGGACAATTAAGCTTATCAAAGAAGCATTTAAAATATTAAGACCCACTCTCTGTGTTTTCTAGAAGGTATGAAAGTAATACCACTTAATAGGTTCGTTGCTATGTGCACTTTCTAAGCACTTTAGAGTCATCCGTCTCTCTAAGGTAGGACAGCATTAATACCATTGGTTAATAGATGAGAGCTCTTCCTCCCTGTATTTGAAATACAGAATTTATCCAGAGCTCTCCAAGTAGTGCCTGTATTTGTCTGATGGCCTAGCAGAATCCTTTTAATAATAATCCCCCAGCTCCTAAGTACTGCCAACATATTTTTCCAGTATGGTTTTAAAAACTAGAAACAAAGAGTTGTTGTGTTTTGTAGTAGCAACTTAGTTTGAAGATTTGTAAGAAATTATATTACTCACAGAAAAATTATAAAAGTTACACATGTAATCAGGTAAATATTTCATACGTTTGGAAAAAGTTTTTAAGCAAATGTAGCTTTAATATGTACTAATTCATGCTTTTCTTCCTGGAGGAGAGATTGGAGACTCTTGTACATAAAATTATATAGTAATTGCAGTGTATTGGACCAAGTGTATTTGTGGTTAGCAAAGAAAAAGAAAGGAAAGCATGGGTGTTTGTTTCCTAGTTTTGTCAAGATCAGTTATGAGGCTAGAATCTGTGTCTTACTAGCTATGTTATTACCTGAACAGTAACCTTGGCTGAGAGCTGTTTTCAGAAGTTCATAATCTGAAGAAGAGCACAGACACCCTGATATCTTGATATTTATTCATTTAAATGTAGAGCGTCATGAAGCAAGAAATTCTAAAGCCTGTCTTCTTTTGTCTGCTTGTCTGTAAATACACTTAATCCTGCTCTTGTTTTTGAGGTTTCTGATATTGCATAAAATGTGAGTCATTAGGTGGTCTTAATGTGGCTCTCTCCAGCACTTACACAGAAAGTCATTGTCAGAAAATTCTTTCTAATTCAAGGTTAATTAGTATACCATTAAAAGAATGTGTTACAAAAATTAATTACATTGCAGGTCAAAATACATGTTAAAAAGCATAGTGTAAATGTCTTTGAGGGCATCATCCTTCTTAAAACACAGCTATATGTGCCATCCTTCTGGAAAGTGCATCCAAAGGGAAATTCACCCCTGGAGTCCAGTCATAGGTATTTTCCCTAAAGTAAATTTTTGGCACCACATGTGACAAATTTAAAATATAACTCCCATTAAATGGTGAAATGTGTGGCTTGTCTGCTTTCCTATTGAAAGAGCTAAAGATTAATATTCTAGCATTAGTTGGTGTAACCTTATTGGCTCAGACTTAAGGAACTATCAAGAGCCTGGTGAAGAAGTAGAAATTATCTGTACATCTTATAGTAAAAGTACATATTATTATCTCCCGACTTAGCTGTGACATAGTTCTTATATGTACCATATGCAAACATGCCATGCATCTTAATTATGTAGTCATTCTTGTAAATAGTTTAACTTAGTACCTACTCTGTATACTCAAAATTAAAACTTTACAAATGACAAACTTTGAAATTCTATTTGATTCTTTTCATGTAAAAGCTGTGAAACAGCTGCGCTGAAGTCTAGAGTATTTGTACATTACTGTTCATTCAAAGATTCTCATTAAAATATCCATATTCTTATGGAGGATCTTTGAAACAGCACCCCAGTGATAGTAGGTTAGTACATTACTGCTGCAGACATTTCAACAGAGGACATGCTGTCCCATGTGCAACAGTACATTTCTGTGAAATACTTGGCTTTTGTTTATGTTTATGTTTCCTTCTTAAAGAACTCTTAGTAGGCTCTGGACAAGAGTATAATCCAATAATTTTTGCCACTATAACAAATTGTAAATGACTTGCCTGCAGTTAGTTATTAGTTGCCATGTGGTTACTAGGAATCAAACCCAGGTCTTCTGCAAGAGCAGCCAGTGCTCTTAAGTGCTCTGTAACCCTCCCAGCCCCTTCCACATACCAGCCAGTACATTAGTTTCCCTCTACTTGCCCATCACCATTGGTTTTAACTATTTTCTTTTTAATTTTCATTTATTTATTTTAATGTATATGACTCTTATTCCTGCATATATGTAAGTGCACCCAAGTCATGCAGTGCACGCACAAGCCAGAAGAGGATGCTGGATCCTCTGAAACTGGAGTTAAGTATGGTTGTGACCATGTGGGTGCTTGGAATCAAACCCAGGTCTTCTGCAAGAGCAGCCAGTGCTCTTAAGTGCTGAGCCATCTGTCCAGCCACCAATTAATATTTTTAAATTACATTTTTATGTATTTGTGTGTACATGTGCACCTTGTGAACCTGCACAGACATCAAAGAGCAACTTGCAGAAGTTGGTTCTTTCTTGATAGCTGTGGATCCGGGGATCAAACTCAGGTTATCAGACTTGGTTGCAAGTACCTTTCCTGCTGAGCCCTCTCACCAGCCCAGCAAATAATATTGGCATTATTGTTTATATTATCATTATTTCCAGCCAGGTGTGGTCACTTAATCTCAGTACTGGGAGGCAGAGGCAGGTGGTTCTCTGTGATCTGGATCAGCCTGGGACTACAATGAGCTCCAGGCCATCTGGGACTACAAAAAAGAAGAAAAAAAAAAAAAACCAAAAACCATTCTTTCCATTCTGCAGGTGAGGAACTGATTAGACTGAAAGAAGTCATTGGGCTGGTATGCAGTGGATCCAGAAGTGGGACTTGGGGCTTCCAGTTGCTTGTCTATCATGTATCCTATAGTACATATCATACCATTATCAGAATGATGAACCTGCAATTTTACTTATTTGTCTTTCTTAAAACATTATACCTCATGTGGCCCTACAACTGGATTAACAAATTCATTGACCGTTCTCTATTTTTTAGGGAAGAGCTCTACTCCACTGGGCATGTGATCGAGGTCATAAAGAGCTGGTCAGAGTCTTGCTACAGTATCAAGCTGATATTAATTGTCAGGTAAGAGGGATTATAAAAGGAGTTTTGTAAAAGAGAAGTCAAATTCACATAAGAAAATTAATGAGATTAACCATGTAACATGCTTCCAAGTCAGAGGGCTTCTTGATTATATATAAATATACTAATATATTAGTAATATATATTAAAGCATAGAGTGACTACAACCACTACTGTAGAGTTCCATAATGTAGTCATCACCCAACAGGAAATGGTATAACAATTGCACAGTTACTTCCTGCTTTCCCCTAGCCCCAGACCCTGGCAACCACTAATCTGCTTTCTTTTCCTGTAGGGCATTTCATATCATTGGAATCATGAAATAAGTGATTTTTCCCATTGCGTTTATTTCATTTATCACATTCTCAAGGTGTGTCCCTATTGGAGCACAGAATAGGGCTTCATTTGTTTTTATGAATGAAGCTGAATTAGTAATATCTGGATATCCTACATTTTCTTTATCATCTCTTTCCATCAATTAATGGACAGTTTTGTTGTTTCTACCTTTTGACAGTTGTGAATCATGCTGTTATAAACATTCACAGTTTTTGTTTGTTTGTATGCTTATTCTAATGCCTCTTTTCAGTTCTTTTGTTTAGTTACCTACAGAGCAGAATTGAGTCATAATGGTAATTTGATACATAATCTTTTTTTTTAACATATAACTTTTTGAGGAATCTCTAAACTTTTCTGTAGGCACTGTACCATTTTACATTCCCTTCACTGGTGTTTGCTGCTTCCAATTTACCACATCCTCAGCAATACTTATTTTCATCCTTTTTCAAATGCCCAGCCTAACAGATGTTAAGTTGGGTCTCAACGTGGTATGGTTTTCATTTACCTTTCACTGATGCTGAGCATCTTTTTGCATCTTTAAACATTTGTGAACCATCTGTTCATGTCTTTCACCAAATTTGTTATTAGAGTGATGAATTTTTTAATTTATATAAACATTTTATGTATATTAAGGCAAACTTTAATATACAGATATTAAAAACTGTTCATGCTTTCTTCTGGTATTTTCATCATTTCATGGTTTCCTTGAGACATCTAGAATTACTTTGTGTCTTATGTATGTTAGTACGATTCATTTTTGTCCAGAGGATGCTGATCTCTGTCCAGATGACTAGTCAGTTGTTCTAGTAATATCTATTGAACAATCATTTTTTTGTCTCTTGCTGTTTGACATGTCCTCCTTCCTGTAGTCTCCGCCTCTGTGGTTTTCAGTCTATTTCTGGGCCTCATCCTCCATCCCATTTCCGTCTTTCTGTTCATGTATTTATGCCATACTCTTTTAAATACTAAAGCTTCAAAGTGTTTTAGAATCAGGCAAGGCAAATTTCTTTACTCCTCATTGTGAATTTTCTCTACAGTTTTGCTTCATTTTTCTGTAAACTCTTGAAGTCATCTTTTTAACCCTTGCTTTCCTGAACCACCACCTCCACCAAGTTAAAACAAACCACGGCAAAACCTAAGAGGACATTGTTGTCTTTATTTGATTTAGACAGGGTATTTTAGAGGAAAATGTTAAATCATTGCAATTTTTACCAGTTCTGTTTTCTGGGATAGTGTAAGGAAAACAATCTAAAACTCTGCCTTGTGTGGGCATATAGAGCACCATTTACAGACCACTAGCTTTAGTGCAGAGTTAAGGTTCTACATGGGTTTTTAGTGCTGGTCAGTTAAGATGGCATGCTGCCTGCCATAATGTTTCCTTGCCCCTTGCATTCACATGGCCCCCATCCTTTCTTTTCCTTTGTTCTTGAAAATTACAGTCTAAACTATCTAGCTTCAGTTTATGGAGTGCTTTCGGAAGGCTTTGTCAGTGTGAGTTGATAACATGCTTCCAAGTCAGAGGGCTTCTGGAGATGAGCTCTCAGAATAGCCTCCCCTTGTCATTTCTCTTCTTCCCCTTGTCATTTCTCTTCTGGTTTTGTTATTGAAAAAGCACTTTTCAAATATAGACAATACAAACATAATAAATGGAAGGAAAGCTTCATCTCTCTCATGACTCAATCATTCTTAAACAGCATTATTATTGACTGGCTTATTGTTTGCCAAAAAAGAAAATCAATTTTATTAGAACTGTTTTCTTGGTTGTGGATCTTGGTACTAACCCAGCACAGACAAAGGCTGATGTTATCAACTGTCTGCAGAATAACTTTTACTGTGAGTCTGAAATGAAGTAATAATTAGAGCCATGTCAAGGTCTACTCTGTTTGGTTTTAGTTTTTTTAACTTTGATCTATGCATTTGTTTTTATTTGTATGAATGTTTTGCCTGCGTTTATGTAAGTGCATTCATTTGTACAGTGCCCATGGAGGCCAGAAGAGAGTGTCAGATTCCAGGGAACTAGAGTTACAGACAGTTGTTAGACACTCTGTGGGACTGGGAACTGAGCCTGGGTCCTCTGCAGGAGCAGCCAGTGCTCTTAACCTTTGAGCTGTCTCTGCAGCCCCGCAAGATCTGCTCTGTGTGCTCTGTACTTTGCTCTTCAGTATCTCTCACACTTGCTGTACTACAGTTTCTGCTTCTGTAGTGCTGATAGAATTGGAACTTAACAATTTCTTTTTTAAAATTTAAATATTTTATTGAAGTTTTGATAATTTTATGTATGTATTTTGATCATATTTGGACTTTGCCCCCTATCTACAGCCCCTCCTTTAATGCCCACATGAGATCATGTCCTCTATTGATTTTTTAGGCTTATCCAGTCTAATTCGTGTCCCCAAATGCTGGGAATTTGTCTGGCTTGAGCTTACATAGGTCTTGGGCATGCTGACACAGTTGCTGTAGATTCATATAAGTAACTGCTCTGCTGTCTGGAAAACACCGTTTTCTTGTAGTCTTCCACCACCCCTGCCTCTTAAAATCTTTCTGCTCCCTCTTCTGCAATGATCCCTGAGCCTTGGGAGACAAGGGTTTGATTATAGGTGTCCCATTCAGAACTAAACACTGTACAGTCTCTTACTCTCTGTGTATTGTTGACCCATTGTGGATTTCCATGTTAATCGCTATCTGCTGCAAGAAGCTTCTCTGATGAGAACTGAGAGGTGCATTAATCTATGGGTATAACAATAAGTCATTAGGAGTTGGCTTAATGCTATGTCCATTGAGCCTGTATGGCCTGTGTGACCTGTCTGTATGGCCTGTGTGACCTGTCTAGCCACGAGTTCCTGATATCACTGTCAGTTATGGGCTGCATCTTGTGGAGCAGAACTTAAATCCAATCAGAAAGTGGTTGGTTACTCATATGACATTTGTGTCACTATTGCACCATTGGGCATATTTTGCCAGGTCAGTTGTCACTGTAGCTCACAGAGTTCACAGCTGGGCAAAGCTGATGGTTACCTTTCTCTTCAAGTAGCAAGCTAGCCAGTAGAGATAAAGCTTTAAGGTCAGTACTAGCTTGATTTCTCCTTGTTTGTTTTATGATTTATATATGTAGTGTCTTCAGCAATAGGGTCTTACTGTCAAGTTCTGGAGGGTAACCAAGAACAAGGGCAATAGCCAGTATTGTTTGAGGGTCTGTGGGACCCCTGGTCAACAGCTCCAAAAGAGGAAGTCCATTCTTGGGCTTTTTTTTTTTTTTTTTTTTTTTTTGCTTGCCTATGGTCTCTGGTAGGGGTATTGGTCTTCCCCCGTACCCCCCCCCACCCATTATAGGATGACTCCATTTAAACTCTTTCTATATTGTATATGTTTATACTTTTAAAATCTTCTATCGTGGTAGGTTTCCATATAGCCTTTTCAAAAGACTTTAGTGGTAGATATTCCTCCCCACACTCCCTCCTCTGCTCTGCGAAGATGATAAAAGAAATCTTTAGTTGGGGTTTCCTCCTCCCAGGTGACTCTAGGTTGTGTCACATCAACAATAAGAATTAACCAGGCAGCACATTAAAAGACATTTGGGGAACCAGGTGTGGTGGTTCATGCCTTTAGTCCCAGCACTCAGGAGGCAGAGGCAGGCAGATGTCTCTGAGTTCAAGTCCAACCTGGTCTACATAGTGAGTTCCAGGCCAGCTAGGGCTACAAGGAGACCCTGCCTCAAAAAGACCCCCCAAAAAAGACATTTGGGGGGCTGGAGAGATGACTCAGAGGTTAAGAGCATTAACTGCTCTTGCAGAGGACTTGGGTTCAATTCCCAGAACCCAGATGGTGGCTAAAATCCATCTGTAACGCCAGTTTCAGGGACTCTTGACTCCCTCTTCTGGCCTCTGTGGCATTGCGTGACACAAGTGCACTTATATACATGCAGGCCATACACTCATACACATAAAATAAAAATAATAAAATATTCTTTAAAAAGACATTTGAATGGCAAAGATTTATTGGGAGATGTTCTCATATTTGTTACCAAGTAGCATCAAGGCAGTATATTGAGTGGCATATGTGAGTATCCACTTGTGTAATGAGCGTAACACAGATCAAAAGAGAAAGATTTCGAGTGGATGGAGATGTCCCAGGGCTTTATCATTTGTAAATAACATAAGCTATGGATTGTAAACTAGCCTAAGAACGATATGCCCTTCAGTGGAGACCTTGGTGGCTATCTCTGTGTTATAAAAGATTTCCAAAACTTGAGAACAGTACAAAGTAGGAAATGAAACCATTTGGAATCCCACCACATGGTATGCATTACAGGGGTAGAGGGTATGAACCTTGTTTTCAATATTTACTATGTGCTCAATGCTTTATGTACATTTTCTCTTTTAATCACCATCCAATAACGTACACATATTACTTTCTATTCCTGCTGATGAAGGAGCAAGAGCTTAGAGAATCCATAGAGCTAGTAAGAATAGTGTGTCGTCTTTTGGATCTGGCTTATTCTACTCAACACAATATTTCCAAGAGTCATTCCTGTTGTTTTAGGGATATATAAATATACACATATTACATCATTTATTTCTTTACTATCATTGCTGTGTAACATTCCATTGTGTGCATATACTGCAGTTTGTCCCTTTTCCCACTGTATTGCTATGGTTATCCTGTATTTG